ACTTTAAATTCATAGAATTTAGCAGGAAGACTCTGCCTTTTAGCTGTGAGAGCTAGGTAATAACAAATGCAGAGTTTAGGATATTTGCTCATGGCGTGGTTCCAAGTTGAGGAGTGATAGATGTAGTAGATATACTTTCTTCTATATTTTCTTTTGAGTTTTACCTTGTTTTGCGGCTGCAAGAATTCCTCGGAGATGTAACCTAATAACCACATTTCACTTTGAATTGAAGTTTTTGTCACCAGAACAATTTAAATCTTGTTCTGAGAGGTGGGCTCTAATTCTTAAACTGTGTATTTTAATTTCTGGCAGGACAGACTGTACATAATTAATTATCAGACCCTACATAATCCTACTGATAAAAAATACACCTTTCCGTTTCTTCAGAGTTAAAGATCTGTCAGTTTTCTAGGTGTTCCCTCAAAACTCTACAAGTTTTTATTTCTGTATATGTATAGAAAAAGAAACATATAACAATATCAAATTTAAATTGTAAATTTATAGACAACTTCTCTTTTTGATCATCTGTATGTTTTGGTTTTCCACAGTGAACATGAAGTATTTTTGTCATAAGAAAATATGTCATTAAAAAGAAAATATCAGTTTCTCCTTCGTAAAATGAGGATCAGAGTTTCGTTTTTTTCCTGCAAGAGAAACGGGCTGGGTTGGCCATTTGTGTCATACCCTTGCCCATTGCTGTGCTTTGTTTCACAAAGCAGATGGTTAGAACAATTCAAGGCCTTTTTTAACGAGATATGAATGATCTCTCTTTATGGCATTCTATTCAGTTTTCTTTATTTTGACCTCTTGAGAATAAGTTTAGAAGAGACATGAAAATTTGAATGCTCAAGTAGAATACAGATTAGCTATATTTTCTAGTGGGTTAAGCTTCAGATGCTGTGTCCAGGCCAGGTCATCAGAATTCCCTGCATTGCTGTCTAGTCCCAGACCACAGCTTACTTTGCTTCCCATTGATAGGTATTTGTCTGTTGGAGCAGTGATTTGTCAAGGAACAGGAATCTGGATTTCTGGGATCTCTAGCCTTAATACCACTTGAGAGTATCCCATCTTACCCCTGTCTTACACATTAGAAAACTTACTGTAACAGTCACCTTGAGATTTAAAGTGAGTAAACTCAGACTTACAAAAGAAACTCATCTGGTCTTAATTAAAACTAACTTTTAATTTATACCTGAACAATTGATAGTTTTTTTATGAATTAGATGCTATGCTTGGCATTGCCTATAAGAAAAGAAGCATTTTTATTTCACCTGATGACCTGACTCAACTATAGTTCAAGAGTACCCTCAACAAATAACCGGGTATGTTAAACAATTGTCATTAGAAGGAGTGGTTCAGGAGCTTAACTAATGTGATTGTCTGGAAGTTATATTCTTTGGCCGACTTAGAGTAGCTTTTTCCTAGCTATTTTTCCCTAAGTTCAGATGAAGTTTAGTATGGCAAGTTAAATTCCATGCTGCCTAGCTTTTAGTCAGATGTCAACCCAACATAATCCTATTTTTATAGGGTCTTAGTCCATTCTGGCTGCTATAACAGAAATACCACAAACTGGGAGGCTTATAAACAACAAACATTTATTTCTCACAGCTCTTAGAGGCTGGGAAGTCCAAGATCATGACTCTGGCAGATTCGGTGTCCAGTGAGAGCCTTTTCCACATTCATAGGTCGAAGTCTTCTTGCTGTGTCCTCACACGGTGGAAGGGGGAAGGGACTCTGTCTCAGAACTCTTTTATAAGGGCACTAATCCCATCCATGAGGGCGTGAACAAACATTCAGACTACAGCAGATACCTAGCAAATATCTAGCAATATTTAAACAGCTGAAAGCATTGCTACTGCAGGTTTCTGTGCCAATTTTATGATTTTGTTTTTTTACAAGAAATGTATTGGCCGGGCGCGGTGGCTCACGCCTGTAATCCTAGCTCTCTGGGAGGCCGAGGCGGGCGGATTGTTTGAGCTCAGGAGTTCGAGACCAGCCTGAGCAAGAGCGAGACCCCGCCTCTACTAAAATTAGAAAGAAATTAATCGGCCAACTAAAAATATATAGAAAAAATTAGCTGGGCATGGTGGCGCGTGCCTGTAGTCCCAGCTACTCGGGAGGCTGAGGCAGAAGGATCACTTGAGCCCAGGAGTTTGAGGTTGCTGTGAGCTAGGCTGACGCCACGGCACTCACTCTAGCCCGGGCAAAAGAGTGAGACTCTGTCTCAAAAAAAAAAAAAAAAGAAATGTATTAATGTTTTCCCATATGGCCAAAAGGTCTGTAGTATAGTCATCTAAGATGTGACTTGGATCAAAAGGAATGCTCATTTCTACGCTTATCTTATATGTGGTCCTCCATAAGAGGGATGTGAGTGTGTACCTTTATTGATACTCGGTATAAATGGACACTTGTTCAGAGAACCCTTCCCACCTTCCTGCCAACCTCACCATTGCTCTTCTAATACCTGCAGGCATAGTATCCTTTCATGACACTCTGGGGGGGTTTCAAAAAATTAATTTATTAATTTTGCAAGTAAAAATTATACATATTTATGGTGTACAGCTTGATGTCTTCATATACGTGTACCTTGTGGAATGGTTAACTCAAGCTATTTGTAGGTATTACCTTACATACTTGTCATTTTTTATGATGAGAACACTTAAAATTTACTCTTAGCAATTTTCGAGTATACGAAATGTTAACTGCAGTCACCATGATATACAATAGATCTCTTGAACTTATTCCTCCTAACTGGAATTTTGTGTCCTTTGGCAAATATCTTCCCAGTGCCCCCATACCCTAGCATCTGGTGACTACCATTTACTCTCTGTTTCTATAAATTTGACTTTTTGTATGCTCCTTGTAGAAGTGAGATTGTGTGGATTCAGGGTTTTTTCATGATAGTTACTATAATTGTAACTGCATATTTATGATTGTTTCAGGTCTGTCTCTCCACACTGGATTGCAGGTTCCGTGAGGGCAGGGACCCTATCTAGGTTTTGTAGCTTTCCATAAATCCAGCACTAGTACAGTGTGCAGCATGTAGTATGTATGCAGTACATATTTGTTGAATGAATAAATGGATATTATTTTTAAAATAATTTTATAATTTGACAGGCAAATACCTATCTGACTGTTAATGTATATTTGAGGTTGAACTTTAGGCTTTTATTGGCTAGTGTTCTTTTTTATAAATTGTCCATATCTTTGTCCATTTTTCGGAGAAGTACATCTTTTTGATTAAAAGCTCTTTCTCTTCTCTGGTACTGTAGGCTCCTATCTGAATATGGCATATTTAGCTGCTTTCCATCTTTATTTTCAAATTTGTTGTATTGCGTTCACATGATCTATTGCCCCTTCATGTTTAGTGTACAGGCATCTGAGACTAAAAACATTGTTGAAATCAGTGTCCCCTCTTGATTCCTTGTCAGTCACTGATTACCTCCAGTCTTTTTTTCCCGCATTATAGCTTCTGTTCTCTGTAGTTACAGATACCCCAACTTTACTTGGACTTTGAAAAATCTCCTTTACACCCCATTCAGTGTAAGCTTAATTTAGTCATTTATTTTGAGGCAAAAAAATTGTTTTCTTTTTTGAGAAGCATTCTATTCCTAGCTGAGAGCCCATCATTTTGATACCTTAAACCCATGATTGGCAAATATTTTCTCTACAGGCCACATAGTAAATATTAGTAAGTATTCGAGGCTTTGTAGGCCAAATGGTCTCTGTTGTAACTACTCAATTCTGCCTAATAGTGCAAAAGGCAACGTAGACAATATGTAAATGAATGAATGTATAATCATAGATACCAATCTTCTTCCCAGATCCACATGGAAATGCCCAGGAAAATGTGAAAATAGGGAAATACTTAACCTTAAAAGCCAGATAGGGAGCCATTCACCTGCCAAACCTTTGAGGGGTTTCTGCTGAATGTGGTGCCAGTGGTACTGGATGAAGAGAAGAGTAGTGAATTGCCTGAGGGAATCCTGCCAGCTCGAGCACTGCTCGCCAGAGGGGCAGGCGAGGGTCATGCTGAGCTCACGTATGTGCTGGCTCCACGATGTGCATTCGCTGTGCCTCACCTCACTGAGTTTCACATCACATCAGCCTCGTGAGAGATTGAGATTATCTTCATTTTCAGATGAAACCGAGACCTAAAAAGTCGCACGGTTTATAAGTAATGACAGGCCAAGTGACAGCAAGATGAAAGACCAAAAGGAAAAGTTTAGAAGGAAAAAATACTAATAGTGATTGTGTCTGGGTGATAAGCTTTTAGGTAATTTGTATTTATATTTCTGTGACTTTTCTAGTTTTTATATAGTTATCAACTTCAGGGTTTTGAGCGAACGTAACTCCATGATCTTTCACTCCAGTTTAGTTCCCCACTGCTGCGGCCATTCCCTGGACCTTCCCTGTGGATGTGCTTCCTGCTGCTTTCTAGTCACAACCTCCTGTGCTTCCAGCTTGTTTTTTACCTATTCCCAAGATCCACTTTTTACTCTACTGGGGCCTCTCTGTGCCTTTGCCTTCTCTCTACAAAAACCCTCAGATTCCTGCTGTCTTAACTCAGGCCCCTTCTGTCTTTACTTCCTGCCAACTTTAGATTATCATCCATTATTTCTTCAACTTATTTTTCTACTTTTTCTCTTTTCTCGTATCTGACCTCCCTCCTCTTTCCTTCTACTTTTAGGAGTGGGCTTTGCTTCTGAACTGAGAGAATACTGAAGCTATCAGATGGCAACTCTCTCTGCCTTGTGACCCCCGTTCACAGAGCCTTTCTGTGTGCTCCTGTCAGCTCTTCTCCTTTCCTTCTGTTACAGCAGGAGAGTTTTTCCTCGCTGCCCTTTTGGGCCAGTCATCCCACCCATGCCCACACTCATGTTCATTCCCACCCCCCAGGGACCTTCCACAGCCCCTCTCTTCCCTACACTAGGCATTTACTAAGTATGCCTTTGGTAAACATTGAATACTTGTGACTTGACTTTTTTCTTTTTTCGTAGTTGGAGAATACATTCAAATCAGTTATTGCACAAATTGGACCTGGAGGAACTATCAGTCCAGAACTAAAGCATAAGATAAAATTTGTAAGTATTTCTGTTTCTGGGACACAGGAATATTTGATTATAAATTTAGATATCACTTGTGGTTGAGTTTAATTTGTTTGCAAATGCTTACTAGTTTTATATTTGTATTAATCTTTTTTGATATTCTGCAAAGAAGTGGCATTCTGTTAAAATCAGAAAAAAACAAATACACACTCTTAAAAATTTTTAATGTAAAATTATTTAGAAAACAAGTTTTTCCATAAATATTCTCTTCCCTTCCTTCTTCCTCTCACCCCAGTAAATCACTGTTGACAAACAGTTCAGAATCTTTCCAATTTTATATACATGTATATCAAATATTCCAAACAATATGTGATATCCCATTATGTTGATGTACCATGTTTCATTTATGAGATCCGTGATTGATTAAAATTTGGGTTGTTTTTACTCTTGACTACTGAAAAAAAAATGCTGCAGTTAAATGTCCACAAACATTTGTCTAGAAGTGGAATTGCCAGGAAAGGTATTAAATATTTTATGTTTTGATTATAAATATTACGAAATTGCTCTCTAAAGGTTTAAACAGGTTAATGTTACTATCCAGTCATGTTGTTTTATTTCTCTTGATTTTTACATAGAGCATCTTTTCATATGCTTAGGGGTCATTTATATTTTTTAGATGATTTGGCTGTTCATATCCTTGGCCTCATTTATTTTGTCTTACTAATATGCGAAAGCTCTTTTGTTGTTATATATTGGGCCAAAGGGTATGTATACTTAAGTTTTTGGTGGGAGCCACTAATCTTGATTTCAGTAACTGAGGTGCCATTACAACTCATACTAATGTTATTCCTTTTCAACCGTCATGATTGTACTGGGAGAAATGCAAAAACCCTGATGCATTCAGGTGCTGTTTTTTGGTTTGGACACTTGAGCAAGTGCCCAACAATTATTTGTCAAAGGATGCTCAATAAGACTTTTTTATGGTACTGAAAAATTAGAGAACATTAAGCATTCATTGATAAAGGATTGGTTAAATTATCCACCCAAACTAGGTAATATGTGGCTTATAAGAAAGTTTAGTTATATCTCTATTAGTTTACATGGAAGTATCTCTTTGACATATTGTTGGACTTTAAAAACAGGTTTTCTCGTATAGCACATTTAGTGTTGTCCTTTCATAGAAAACCCTGAATAATGGTGAGTATATGCATGCATAAAGAGGCTTCTGAAAGGATGTTTTTCGAAATGCAGCAATGGCTGTCTCTGAGTCACAGGACTTTGAAATAACTTTTGCTTTATGTTTCCTGAAGCTCAAATTAGAACTTTGTATAAAATATATCTGGAAAAATCTAGGAAAACAAACCTTTTAATATCTTATTGGGATAGAGGAAGTCTACTTCTAGAAATTTATCCTAGTAAATCATTGGACAAGTCTGCAGAACTCAAGCATGAGGATAATTATTGTAATATTTGTGATGAAAAATAAGAAAATGAAAGATCAGATAAACTTGGGCATATTATTTTGAAAAATCTATAGCCAGTAAAAATGTTGATCTGTATTTACTGACATGAAAAAACGTCTAT